CCAGGCTCCCTGAGAACTCAACAGGAACTCTGAGAGAACTCCAAAGGAGCTGGCTCTGAGGCAGCAGGAGCCGCCCTATTGCTAGACAGCAGGGGTCTATATACAACTGAATACACAGCCTATTTCAATCCAGCACCATCCAGGCACAGCAATTATACACAGCTTAACTTAATTATCCTCATCTTAATGGCTCCCTGGCATCACCTCTCAACCACTCCTTCTGGCAAAATGCCAGGCGCCATCCCAACTGGCTGTGGCTCTCAACATCTCCCCCCTTCTGTTTAATTAAACAACAAGCATGTGTCTTAGGGACCGTGCCTGTCTTAGGTTGTCCAATACTACATATGGTCCTTACCCATCATCGGACGAGCTGACCTCAAGGCGTCAGCCTGCTGTCTTAGGTTGGTACCATTGCAATTGTATCTTACTGACTACCGGTCCAGCATACAGCCATACTTTTGGATAGGACTTTGTACCAGTGGGGGGGTGAGATTCTTTGCCTCACCTCTGTTGGCCCCGAAATTTTAGCTGAACGACCATCACAAGCAGAAGGGAGGAGGATACAAAATGCTACGACACCAAGCCAATTGACCGCTCCTTTTGGAAAAATTGTACCACTGATGACACCATCAGCAAAAATACCCTGGCACTACCACAAGTCACTGCACCAACAGAGAGTTCAATGCATACAAGTGATACATAGTCCAGGCAAGTTCTCCAAGCAGTTCAAAGCAGACGAATCCATGTCCATTTCCTCCCAAAGCAAATCGACTTCTTGATTGAGCATCACTTGTTGAGTTACATTATTCATTGATGCATCGATTTATACAGTTTGTTGTGATAGCTATCGCAGAAGCTGTAGTTTCGTTTTATCTTTGTCTTCACCGGCACTGGGGTGAAGATAGGAATTCTGGCAATGATGGCTAAAAAAATTATGTAGCATTCCAGCAGGCACTAAGAAAACAATTTTCTGAGCAATTTACATTATCCTGAACAGAATTATATATAATGAAAAGGAAAGGTGAAAGTAAACAAACAGATCTGTTAACCTCCTTTTTTGTTCACATATTAAAACAATCCTCAACAGCTGTTTCCCCAATTTAAATTAAACCATTTAAATCACGTGAATAATAAAAAAAATTTGGATCCATTTTTTCATAAGCGCTCCTCATATATGATACATAGACATACGCACATACAGACATACAACACATAACACAAGTGTGCACACATAACATACAACACATAAGACAATACTAAAGGCAATGTAACTTTTCACAGGTGAAATCTCCATTGCGATGTTTAAAAACTCCACAATCAAAAATAGAACTAATCAGAAAAACATTAACCTAGGTGTGTATGAGCTCAAAAAATAAAATAGAACTTCATGATGTGGGAAAGGGCAATAAAATAGATATTGAAAAAAGCATCCTAGGGGCTGGGGATGTGGCTCAAGTGGTAGCACACTCGCCTGGCATGCGTGTGGCCCGGGTTAGATCCTCAGCACCACATACAAACAAAGATGTTGTGTCCGCCGAAAACTAAAAAATAAAAAATATTAAAAAAAAAAAATTAAAAAAAAAAGAAAAAAGCATCCTGGTTACCACCTGGGTTTGACTCTTCTTTGGATATCCCATCCTTTTTCCTGTAACTTGCATATGGGTCTGAAGGTATTCCCACAAGCAAGCCCCAAGGTTTTTTACATTTGAAATAGGCCTTAATGGTGTTCATTATTCATTAGCCTCCAGGTGTGGGAGAACCACTGTCACAGATGTAAGGATAGCCAAACTGAAGTTCTGGATATCAGCCGTTATGGATTTGAGCCAAATCATCTTCTTTTTGGTCTGTAGAATTCATTTAGTTAGTCTCTCTGGAATCCAAATAGGCTGCTGTTCTCCGTGTGGAAACACACAAACAGACCCCCGACTCCAGACAATCACTGGGTCAGGACCTTTCCATTGTCCTGTTAGAATATCCTTCCAAAGTACCTTGGGCTTATGTACATTTTTTGGACACATGTGCCTTTCCGCAGCACTAAGCCCTGATGAATCCAAATTTAAAAAGTTTAGAGTAAAAAGGGTTATTTTAAGTTTATCTTTGGGGGATATATACCCCTTCCCAATTCCCTCTTTTTGCTTTAATGAGTACATTTTAATAGTTTGATGAGCTCTTTCAACTATGCCTTGTCCCTGTGGATTGTATGGGATTCCTGTAATATGAGTAATGCCAAATGAAGAGCAAAATTGCTTAAAAGAGGTAGAGGTATACCCAGGGCCATTATCTGTTTTTAACTGTTTTGGAACGCCCACAGTGGCAAAATTTTGTAAGCAATGAGCTATAATATCTTTAGTTTTTTCTCCGGAATGAAGGGAGCCATCAAAAATCCGGAAGAAGTATCAACTGTAACATGCAAATATTTTAATTTTCCAAATTCTGGCAAGTGTGTGACGTCCATCTGCCAAATATGGTTAGGTATCAGTCCTCTAGGATTGATTCCAAGAGTAAAAAGGTCACACAATTTTGACATTGTTTTATTATTTGTCTAGCTTGTTCTTTAGTTATTTTAAAATGCTTTTTTAAAGTATTTGCATTGACATGGAAGGATTTATGAAAATTTGTAGCTTCTTCTAGCGTAGAGAAAATATGTATGCCATGTGTAGTTTTATCTGCTAAATCATTGCCCAAACTAAGGGCTCCAGGCAATCCTGTATGTGCCCTAATATGTCCTATAAAGAATGGATCTTTTATGTCCCAGATTAGACTTTGTATAGTGGAAAGCAAAGAGAAAACTGTAGAGGAAGGAGAAATCCTACCAGCATCTTCAAGGGATACTATAGCATTAACTATACACTGACTATCAGAAAATAAATTAAATACAGAATCTTTAAACATCACAAAAGCTTGTAATACTGCATTAAGCTCTACCTTTTGAGCTGATTGTTTGGGTACTAAAAATGTAAAAGTTTGATCAGGGGTAACTACTGCTGCTGTACCATTATTTGACCCATCAGTGAATATATTTGGAGCATTCATGATAGGTGTTTTTCTTGTCATTTTTGGAAAAACTACAGGATGAGAAGACCAAAAAGACAATAAAGGATTAGATGGTAAGTGGTTATCAAATGAAACATTAGATTTGCACATGATTATTGCCCAAGTATTTAACTCATTAGCTAACTCATCAATTTGATCCATAGTATATGGAGTAATCATTTTATTGGGAGAAATTCCAAACACTCCCTTTGCTCCTTTTATTCCTTTGAGTATTAATTGTCCTACAGCCTCAGGATACCTAGTAAGAATAGTGTTAGGAGAATAAGATAAATGTATCCATAATAATGGACCTTCTTGCCAAAATACTCCTGTAGGAATATTTTTTGTTGGTAGTACAATAAATAATAAAGGCAAACATATCAATTCTATCCAAATGCATATTTTCCATATATGTTTCAATGATTTTTAATGCCTTTCTTGCTTCAGGCGTTAACATTCGGGTGAATTTGGATCTGATGGACCTTTTAGGATATCAAATAAAGGTTCCAACTCTCCTGTTGGTATGCCTAGATAAGGCCTTATCCAATTTATGTCTCCTAATAACTTTTGAAAGTTGTTAAGTGATTTGAGTGGATCTACTCATATTTGAATTTTTAGTGGACAGACCATGGTTGAGGATAATAGAACTCCTAAATAATTAATTGGAAGATTTAATTGTACTTTATCTATTGCTATCTCTAGATTATAATTTTTTAATAAGTTTGTAAGTGTGGCATAACATTCCAGCAATGTGTTTTTATCTTCGTGTGCTAATAATATATCATCCATATAGTGAAATATTTGTAGTTCAGGATTTTGATTTCTAAGTGGCTGGATTGCTTTGTTAACATAAATTTGACACATAGTTGGGCTGTTAGCCATCCCTTGAGGGAGTACTTTCCGTTCATATCTCTGATCAGGACCTTCATGATTCAGTGCAGGGACAGTAAATGCAAAAAATGGAGTATCCTCAGGATGAATTGGAATTGAAAAAAAAAAACCAATCTTTAATATCTATAACTAAAACATACCCGGTTTTTGGCAAAGCAGACAATTGAGGATTCCCCGATTGAGCAGGTCCCGTAATAACCATCTCATTATTAATGGCTCTTAAATCTTGCAATAATCTCCATTTACCAGATTTCTTTTTGATGACAAAAATGGGAGTATTATGGGGAGATACGGAAGGTTGTATATGTCCCTCCGCTAACTGTTGTTTGACCAGGTCATGGGCTGCTTGTTTCTTTTCTTTAGTCAGGGGCCACTGAGGAACCCATACTGGTCTTTCTGATTTCCAAGTAATTTTTATTGTCTCAGTGACCCCTCCTGAAAACCCAATCCATGTCTGTCTGTTCCTTGATCTATTTGTATTGGTGCTGCTATACCTTGTTCTTGTTCTCCTAATCTTTTTCCTTTCCTAAAACCTTGTCTAGCCCTAATAGTGGGCATATTTGGATTGATGTTATTTGTTAATGTCAAACCTAATTGATCTAGGACATCTCGTCCCCATAAATTTATAGGAAAATGATCCAATACATATGGCTGGGAAAAGAAAACCAATGGAGTTTAACAGTCATGTGGAAATGTTCTGGCAAAAGTAAAGACTGGAATATTCTGACAGTGACACACATAGGTTTCTTCTTAACACATTTATTATGGAATGGAAATGTATGTGAGTGTAGCACACCCTGTGATTGATTCCCACCAGCACAGAACACACCAGGGACAACAGCAAACACTTGTTAAATTCTGGAATACATCCAGAATAATCATTTTATTTTCAAACAAAATGGTTTTTTAAAATTTATTATTAATTATTAGTGCAGAGACTAGAAACAAAGCGAAAAATCATATTGCAACTAAACATGCCCAATTATTCAGACATAAGTAACATTTTCAGCTTGATATGGCAGGTGACAATGGCCCTGACAAAGCATAAACATGTAAGCTATGTTACATGCAATTCTTTAAAGGCCCAGCTTGGTTCGTCTCCAGTGTCTCCTCTTGGAGTTGTACCTGATTTTGTTACCAGTTTTCATCTGAACCCACTGGGGAATGGGACGATTTTGCTTTTGTTTCTTGGCGAGGAATTGCTTGATCCTGAAAGTCTTGTGAGAAGACATGGTAAGGAATGGAGTCCACTGAGCATACCACGATGTTGGAAGGAGAGAGCCAAAAATTTCTAAGCATTAAGGAACAAAAGAAAAAGGAAAAAAAGGTGATCCAAAGAATACACTTAAGTGAATCACAGCAACAAATGAAATAAATTAGGGTTAAAGATAAGGACTTTAAAAATGACTGTAATTATGAGTAGAAACAGCAAATAGGTTAGATAAATAATAGAGACTATTCCTCAGACTTAGAATGTGTTAAACAATAAACCAACTGCCAGCTGGGGAGCAGCTGAGGCTGAGGCAAGAGGACCACAGGGACCAGGAGTGGGGGGCCAGCCTGGGCAACACAGCATGCTCCTGTCGCAAGAACCACCAGGCCACGACTGTGTTGGACGTAAGAACAGAATAGGTGGCCACAGATGGGTCTCCTGGAAAATGGGACACAGAAGACAAGACTCAGGGACTAAAGAGCGATAGGAAAGGTGGAAAGTTAAGCACACAGAGGAAGTGTAAAGTGTAAAAGCCATGTACAAAAAGGGTCCCAGAATGGGGAGATGGCGATGGCATAGATCCATGGAACAACATGAATCCCAACAGGGATAAAACCAAAATCAGCCCTGGAACCCGATCTTAAAGACTCCAGAACAATTGGCACATTTGATTAAAACTGATAAAACTAATAACAATAAAGTCAAAAATTCTTTTTTGTTTTTATTTTGTGTACCAGGGATTGAACCCAGGGTTGCCTAACCACTGAGCCACATCCCAAGTCCTTTTTATTTTTTATTTTGAGACAGGGTCTGGCTGAGTTGCTAAATGCCTCACTGAGTTGCTGAGGCTGGCTTTGAACTCATGATCCCCCTGCCTCAGCCTCCCAAGTCACTGGGATTATAGGGAGTGCTATTGTACTCAGCTCACTAGACATTGCAACAGCTGACTTGAGCAGTCAGAAGAAAGAACAAGTGAACTTCAGTGTAGGTCAACTGAAATTGTAAAGTCAGAGGAACAGACAGAAGAAACAGTGGGAGTCTCCGAAAAGAAATAGAAAAAAGGGAAAGAAAGAATACTTGAAAAAATAAATGCTGGGCTGGGGATGTGGCTCAAGCGGTAGCGCGTTCGCCTGGCATGCGTGCGGCCCGGGTTCGATCCTCAGCACCACATACAAACAAAGATGTTGTGCCCGCCGAAAACTAAAAACAACAACAACAACAAAAAGATTAAAATCCTCTCTCTCTCTCTCTCTAAAAAAAAAAAGAAAAAATAAATGCTGAAAACCTCCAAAATTTGATCAAAGATATAAATCTATGCATCCAAGAATCTCTAAGAAATCCGACAAAGATAAACAAATGAGCCATATGCTGACATAATATAATCAAATATGATATAGTCAAAGTGTCAAAAACCAAAGACATAAAGAGAATCTTTAAAGCAGCGAGAGAGAAGCACCCCATCATGTACAGGGATCCTCCGAGAGGTGAACAGCCAATTTCCCAGCTGAAATCAAGGAGGTCAGAAAGCATGGAATTGTGCCAGGCACGGTGGGGCATGTCTGTGATCCCAGTGGCTCCGAAGGCTGAGGCAGGAAGATTTCTTATTCAAGGCCTGCTTCGGTGAGGCCTTGTCTCAAAATAAAAAATTAAAAGGGCTGGAGATGTAGCTCTGGTTAAGCACCCCTGGGTTCAATCCCAGGTGAAAAAGAAAAAAAAAAAGAGAGCAATGGGATTTGTACGGCTGGGGTCTCCAGGTGTAACAAAGAAGTGAGCAAGTCATGCAGAAGTAACAGGTAAAGAACAGTTTGTTGAAGGTGAAGATGAAAGTGGCATTCAGTCAGGTACAGCAGAGTGGCCAAAACAAGAATGTCTGGAAGTTCTTGCCTCCTACTATGTTGAGCTGCGAGGCGTTCTTCCGTGTGCGGACCTAATAGAGAGCTCCCCGCATTTGCTGGTGAGTTTAGAATTCCAAGTCTGTGGTGGGAGTTATCATGGGCAATAAATCCTCAGTGGCAGGAGTCGCTATGTTACCAGAACATTGTCAACAGGGATGTGATGACTCAACTCCCTGTTCTGTCTTCCACGTCGCATTTTTCTTGTACCCTACTGACACCATCTTGGCATCCGGAACTCCTACCTAACAGGATGACATATTAAAAGTGGTGAAAGAGCCAGGCATGGTGGCATATGCTTATAATTCCAGCAATTTGGGAGGCTGAGGCAGGAGAATTGCAAGCTGGAGGCCAGCCTCAGCAATTTAATGCAGAAGTAGGGTATTGTGTGCTACTCAAGAGGCTGAAAGTTTGAGGCAAGCCTGGGAAACCCAGCAAGACCTTGTCTTGTTTTTTTCTTTGGTACCAGGGATTGAAATCAGGGGCACTCCACCAATGAGCAACATCCCCAGCCTTATTTTTTGTATTTTATTTAGAGACAGGTGTCACCAAGTTGCTTAGTGCCTCACTGTTGCTGAGGCTGGCTTTGAACTTGTGATCCTCCTGCCTCAGCCTCCAGAGCCACTGGGATTATAGGCGTGCACCACTGTGCCCAGCTAAGACCCTGTCTTGAAATAAAAATTTTAAGTCTGGGCATGTACTTCAGTGGTAGAGTACTTTTGTAGCATGCTCCAGGTTCTGGATTCAATAGGGGGAAGTGGGGAAGGAAGGAAATGTGTAAGAGCATAGTTCCTGCATATTATTGAAGCTAAGGTACCTGGAGACGTACCTCAGCAGGAGAGTGCTTGCCTGGTATGTACAAAGCCCTGGGTTCAACGGTTAGCGCTGAAAAATAGAGTCTAGTTGTGATCCCTTTGTAATCACTGAGAAAATAAACCATAGTTGGTTTTGTTTTTTTTTTTTCATAGAAAAGGAAAGGAGAAAGGAATTTTTAAAAAGTCACACTATCAGGGCTGGGGACACAGCTCAGCTGGTAGAGTGCTTGCCTAAGGTGCACAAGGCCTTAGGTTCAATCCTCACACACACACAAAGAAAAATGCTGTGGTGTAGCTCAGTGGTTGAGCATTTCCCTAGTAGCATGCACCACAAAAACACCAACTACAAAAACCAAAATACGGCAAATTGGGCTGGGGATGTGGCTCAAGCGGTAGCACGCTCGCCTGGCATGCGTGCAGCCCGGGTTTGATTCTCAGCACCACATACAAACAAAGATGTTGTGTCCGCCAAAAACTAAAAAAAAATGAATAAATAAATATTAAAATTCTCTCTCTCTCTCTTTAAAAAAAAATATAGCAAATTGGTATATTAATTATTTCAAGCTAAAAATCACTGAGGAACGGGATATTCAGCCTATCTTTTCCTACATGCACCAAGTCACAAGAGTTCTCTTGGGAGGGATGTCCTTCACATACCAAGGCTGGGAAACAGCAGACTGTTTATTAGGGCTGCAACCTGAATAAATTCTTTAACCCTTACCTTCCACATGCATCTATTCTCCCCCATGTACTTCTCAGTAACATCCCTAGAATTTACGACCCTAGTCCAGACATCCATTTATCCTAAGATGATTCCTTTACAAATATACTGTTATTTGTCTAAAATAAGCATCATGCTTTGGTCATTTCTTAAGACTTCATTCTGTTATGAATATCCCCACATTAATTCTTAAAAACTTATTATTTTCTTGCTAAGCAGCTCTTACATTAATGGGGCTCCTAGATTCAGCCAAAGGACTCACAAAAGAACTAACAGGGAAGTGGAAGGGAACCCTCTCCCTCTTACTACATCCCAAAACAAAAGGCAGTTTGAGGCACAACAAAATTGAAAACAAAGACCCTATTATTCAAGCCAAATGGCATACAAAGGATCTGATTTTACAGATAAAAAATAAAAAGGGAATTACAGCAACTTGGTTCTTATAATTATACTGGTCAACAAGAATAGCACAGCTTGTTGAATGGTCATTGCTCAGGTTATTAATTCTAGGAAAGAATCTCTGTAAAGAAAAGCTTTTACTAGGAGGACTTATCTCCATGTGAGGGAGTTGGCCCTGAGAGGTCAGAATGACCTGCCAACTCTCATGCCTCAAGTTTTCCCTAAGTGAAAGAATTTCACGACCTCAGTCTTTCATTTTAAATCCTTTCTCAAACAGTATTATTTTTCCTATATGTGTAGAATTTTTGCTAAATATTTTAATGATAATTTGTTTGCTTTTCTGAATAAAAATTATTTTTAAAATATTTAACTAGACCAAGAAAACGTAGTAACATTGGTCATGCAAGGGCTCAATTTAATTTGAATGATTCATACACAGGTAACTATATTAGAAAAAGAAAGTATAATTGTCTCTTGTTCCAATTAAAATAAGATTTATTATGAAAGAATTATTTAACGGTATGTACTTGCAACTAAACTTTAAAAAGGTAATTGAAGAAAGGAGAATGGGGAACTGCACATTCATCTACATCACAAAGGCACCTCCTTCCAAAGAAGTCTTTCTCCAAATCCTGGGAACTCAGGATCTATTTTATCTTTTGAAACAAGGAAATACTTATTTCCTACCTTTCCCCACTGAAAAAGGCAGGGAACAATGACCAATCTAATAACATAAACTGTCCCAGTGTTTCATCTAAGTATTATTTCCTACTGTAAGAAAACAGCTACTTAGAGAAATAACTGATTCTAGATCCAAGAAAGGAGAGGACAAATTGTTATGGAACATCCCACAACTGAAGAGGAAGGGATTTAAGTTTCACTTTTTTTTTTTTTTTTTTTTGGTACTGGGTTTTGAATCCTGGGGCACTTAACCACAGAGCCACACACCCAGCCTTTTTTATGTTTGAGACAGGGTCTCACTAAGTTTGTTAGGTTCGCTAAACTGCAGTGGCTGGCATTGAACTTTGTCTCACCCTTCTAAGGCCCTGGGATTAAGGGCATGTGCAACAATGCCTGCTCAGTTCCACTTCTTATGTGGAGAAGTAACCCAGAGTTTGTGGCTATATAGAACTGCAAATAAATAAATAAAGGGACACACACACACACACACACACACACACACTTTGGATTG